GTGAATCTCTGTTGCGTTGTTGCTGTGTTGCGGCTGTCTCTCTGCTGCGTGATGATCTCAAAAGATCCAGAGAAAAACCTATTTAAAGGCCCACGGCGGCTGGCCCAAAGATAGGGTTGCAAAATTAGGTTTAGTGAATATTTCTCTAAGTTGATCTTCTGGAGAGCAGGTGCTCCCTTTCCTGGAGCAGGTGCTCCTTTCTGGGCAGAAACTTCAAAAGATCCACATTTCCTCCTTTTCCGCCAAGTCCACTCCGCAAGCTCCAATCTTTGTTTCCAGCAACTTTTATACCTAGAATGACTCGAAAGAGAACGATAGATTCGATAAAATCCTACAAAACAAAGGTTAGAATGCGCCAAAAACGCATTATATCAAGCTACTTGTGCCTTGTCCCCTTCTATCATGGCCTTTTTACCTCGTTTTCCCTGAATTTCATCTTCACCGCGCTTTCGTCGCGCGACTCTGATATATCGCATCGGCTAGACAATCAACCTAACTAATCTAAGAATACTAAACCTAACTTACCATGAAACCCATAGGTAGAAAGGCTGACGAGAGGCAGCTGGAACATGAGTCATTTCCCAAGTAGTCCCTAGAAATCTTTTGTAATTGTCCTCCAGGTCATAACTGGAGTGGCAATCTGCTCACGGACTTAAATCCATGTCAAAGTGTTAATCAAATTTACGTATTTCATTGCTCTTAAAAATTCCTCTTACGTTGTTTGGTAAGTAACAACATAATGAACATAATACTACAACGCCTTGGAAAAGTCTTCACCGTGCATGTTGTTTCTCGTGTCTTGCCTTCCTATAATACACCTGGTCGGATTTCTTATCCTGCAAGGCTTGTAAGGGGGCAAATATTGAATACTCAGTAAGACTGTGTACTCCGTCTCACGACCTAACTATCTTAATCTACCCAGCACAACTCTCACATGATGTATGAGCAACCATATGTTACGTATTTTCATTTAGTACATCTTGTCAGTACTGCAAGCCCTTAAGCAGTGAGCTAATAATTGTTACTTATAACACTTATATGGGCTTGGGTTTTCATAATATAAAATTTACGAGGTGTCGTAAATTTTTTTTTTTGTTAAATTAGATGAAAC